ATTTGCATTCCAAGATGTTTACCAAATTAAGCTGCTTTTTACCAATTTATTGTAAAGTCAGATATTTTTATTGTTATGCTATGTATTCAGTTTTGAGTTAAGGGCTTTTAAATATTGAAGATATATAAATGATATTTTTTGAGAGTGAAATTACACAGTAAATTATCTAGTGTCCACTATTTTACATTTTAAGTAGGCCCTTACAAAATGTCTTGTACTTACATAAGATACAGGGGCTACAGCATATTTATTAAGACTCTTCAACTCTGTATGAAACTGGAGCAGTCAGAAGTAATGGTGTCTGCTGAAAGATTCTTTATCATATGAATTTACTTTTAGTCATCTATTATTTATTTCAGCTATTTTATATGCCATTATAATAAATATTATGACAGAGAAAGCTTTTATGCTTCAACTTATTGTACTGCTCTTCACTTCCTCGCAATCCTTCAGGAAAATGTAGCTATGCTTTACCTATATTTAACGTAAATCATCACTTACATTTGAATGAAAAATTCACTATGAAAAAAGGCTCCTTCTTCAATACCAAGACACAAATGCACAATCATGTTTACTGCCAAACTACTCTACCATGCAGTGTTCATTTTTAAACAGTTTTTAAGCTGTAAAGTGAATACATTGCATACAGTGAAATTGCTTGCTTTCTGGATGTTTTTACTTTCTTGTTAGTTTCTGGCTCAATAAGCATTTTTTCTAGCATGAGTGCAAAATATAACCAATTGCACTTAAACATTCTTAATTTTTTTACCCAAATAGGGAGCAGCTTACATACAAAACTAAACAAACTGTTTTCTGGTGTTATTTACCTGGAAATATTGATAAAATGCTTTTAGAACTGGGCATAATATCATCAAATACAAGATAAAATTTTCTCTTTGCACTTTTCAAAATGATATTGTGTTGTGTTTAAAAGAGGACTCGTTAGGAACCAGAGAAAGATTTGCCTTCGTCTATGTCTTCAAAGAGAGGACATTGGTGCCTAGACATTGCCTTGAACTGCTCTTTGAGCTTCATGAAATGCAAACAGTCTCCATCCCAAAAGTGCTGTTTCAGTTGGTTCTAGCTGGCCTGGTTTTCACGAGGTTCAGTAGACAGCAGAAGCGTGTCCGCCTCTTGCGCCTGTTCCCCTTTTGGCCAGTTTACAAAGCTGGTCTGAGTCTAGTTGTGTGAGTGATTTTGGACACAGTGGGGACATTTTCCCTGGACATCTGCAGTGAGCAGTGCTGCACAGTAATGATCCTGTGATTTAGAAGTGAGCTCTTTACATTATTCTACACTCATTCCGTTATTTAGTTTCCCCTTAAATGATAGAATTGAAAATACAGTAGTAGAGGGAGCATTAATATCTTTTGTCGATTTCATTTGAAAAATTCTGGAGTTTTCTTCCTTAGTGTGTTGATTTTACCATGTCAGTTTTAAGACTGTCTTCTGTATTTGTGAAAGTGACAAGTCCCATTTAAGGTTTCGCAACATAAAATGAGGCATAATTCATCACTGAAAATATGTGAAGTGAAATGGTGAAAGACATCAGCATAATACAATTATGACACATTAGATCAGGATTTGCAGCATACCATTAGCAATCAGTTCTGACTGTGGATTACAATTACTGTTACAGTGCCTTTTAGCAAAAATGTTTTTTAGTTTTATTTTTTATTTTAAAAAAATGTTTTATTTTTCTATAAATACCACAAT